AAGTGCAAAGTAGTAGTAAGTATTATTATAAAACACACTGAAAAATAATAATACAAATTAACATCAATACTAAGAAATGCACAGAGAGTGTGTCTAGTGTTATATAGATGTTTCTGCCACATATGTGGTTTTTATATCATTGTTCTGATATTTTAATGGCTTGTAAATGTTTAATTGCATGTAAATATATGCACCAGTAAGAAAACTGAGTTGGTAAACCATGGAGCCAACGGGCAGGAGGCAATGGTATCACGGACTATGGCTCCTTTGGTGAGAAATAATATCTGAGCACACTGTAAATCCAAATTTATCTCATTGGCAGTTTTAATTCATTGTCTCTAGTGTGCTAAATAGAGTAGAGAAGTGTTAGAAACAGGAGAAGAGTACAGAAGGAAAATATTAGGATGAGATTTTGTTTAAAAATTCCTAAGTAACAAAGCTGACCATGTTTACTTCAAATGGCTGCAGAGAGCTCTCCATCAATGCAGCTTTGGGTTTTTTTTAGTTTGGTATGTGGATTTAATAAAAAAAAGCAAACTGGATTTTAAAAAGAATCAACGGTACAACTTTGAAAGTAAACTTTGTGAACTGAAATTATCTGATTTTTTAAAAATTTAAAAACCTATAGGCATAATTTTCCTCTCACTGACAAGGGTGTAACTTCATTGAATTCCACAGAGTTACTCCTGACTTACAATGGGGAAAATGAGAGGGAAATCAGCCCCTGTACTATTATGTGAGTGAGGCATGAAGCTCAAAGAGTTGATGCTTTTGTTCTGTTTGGAGTTTATCTGAATCTCAGTGATCCTTCTGTTCTCTCATTCCTTTCCCACTTTTCCACCTCCCATCCATTCTTCTTCATGGTCTTCCTCCTAACCCCAACATGCCATTCTCTTTTCCTGACCCCAAACTCCCTGTCCTTGACCTCCAACAAGCTCCCAGGGCCCCACCACTTCCTCTGTCTAACCACCTACAGGGCTCCTGATCTGCGCCAACTACCTCTCTCTGACTCCCCAAACACCCCCTACATTTCCTATCAGGTTGTCTCAACAGGTCTGACATTTTCTGGTGGGCTCTAGCAGTCTGCTCTGTTCAAATCTCATCTATTATGACAAGGCTTCTTTAGTGAGAGGCACCACAGATAGGCCCAGATCCTCAAAGGTATTTAGGCACCTAACTCCCATTGTTTTTTCAGGACCTTTAAGGGTCTGGGCTAGAGTGCTTCCTCATCCACCTAGCATTTGTGGGTGTTGAAGACACTGGGCCAGCCCAAGCTCACTCCATTAACTTCAGTTGGTGCTACTCTAGCTTACAACAACTGAAGATCTGCATTCCAGTTAATAGTCAATCTAGCAGAGACTGCTAGAGGTTGGAATCTTGATGTGGACTTCAGCAAAGCACAGGGGACTGTTAAGGGTAGGGGAAAGGGAGACTGGATATTGAGTGGAACATTTTCTAAGCTAAGAAGGACATGGATCTGAACAATCAGAGGTTTGTGCCAATTCTTATTTTACCCTTGGGGTTCACCCATTCTTCATTATAAGGAATAAGACACTTACCACATAATTCAATGTTTCAGACATTAAAATGAGTAAACATGTTCTATATATGTAATTACAACTCCACCTTAAAAGCAAGTGCCTGCTGTGTAACAATCACAAGATGATGTGTTACTATTGTTCTGTGGCTTTGAAAACCTGATGGAGTATGGGCCAGTATAATATAGGGCAATTCCTGGGTTATTTGCCATCAGTGTCTCTGTGGATCTAGGCTTTTGCCTTTGTTAGTGATCTGTCAAGTTATTCATGAAAAGGACAGCCTTGTAACAACATTATTTCAGGAGGATAATAACTAGCCATCATAAATTCCTTTTTAAATAGTTTATTGCAGGTTGTAGTCTATTGACAGTGTCTGTTTTACAGCATGGAAGAAAACAATTCCTTGTTGGTACTAGTCACTAAAACCACTTAATAGCTACAGCCCTTTTTAGTGCTCTCAGAGAAAACCTAGTCTTTCATGAAATGAATCATAAATAGTTGAGTCAAGGAAGTTACTCTAAAGGGGGAAAGAGCGAAAAGAGATCAGTGTCTCACAGTTATTGAAATGTGTTTGCTTTTAGACAATTCTCCATTAAATACTATTTAACAAATATAGGTTAGGATAGAGCTGGTTGGGAATTTTTTGACTAAAATTTTTTCATCTGAAAATGCTGATAAATCAAATGAAACTTTTTTTCATGAAAACTTACTGGTTTTGATAAACTTTCCTTGGGAAGGTTTCTCAGGTTCAGAATGGAATTTCAGGAGAGAGACCCAGCCCAGAATAGCCAAACTTTGGGGATGTAGAGCAAACTTTGGGGATGTAGAAGACTTTCAGAGCAGGGATTTGAACCTGGATTTACTACACCCCAGCTCAGTGCCCCAACCACCAAGCTACTGGCTAATTGGAGGTTGCTCTTTTGTCTGTGTTTTTTCATTAAAAATTTCAAAAGGTCTCTCTTTTTTTTTTTTTTTTGTTTTGTTTGTTCTGCTCTGGAACTAAAACAAATTTTGAAACCTCTGTTTTTGCAAAACAGAATTCCAGCCCTAGTTTAGGGCCCAATCCTGCAGTCTTACTTGGGAAAAACGGCATTAACTTCAGCAGAAGCTTTGTCTTTATCAGGTCTGTGGCTCAAGCCCTTAGACAGGGAACTATTTAGCAATTTTCTCCCTTTCAGGTTTCTGTTCTCTGTAGTGGAGTGTGAAAAACTTTAGTTGGATCTCATCTTTCTGGAAACAGAGAGCCACTGGGTCTAATGATTAGAGCAGGTGACTAGGACGCCACCATTCTCTTGCTGTGTGAGCTTGGGCAAGTGACATAACCTTTGTGGCTTTGACAACCCATCTTGCTTGAGATGTTGTGACCTTTTCTTACAGATGCAGACAACTCTATAGTTATCCATTCCTTGTTCACTTCAACAGTGGATGACTGCAGTGCTCACTTTATGGGGCTACACCTAAACATCACCAACTTAGCTGTGCTTCTCGCTGGAAAACCATCACACCTGCACACTGTGATGAGCAGTAGCTGATCCAATTCATTCCCAGGAGCAATTCAAAGTATTTGTCTTGGCCTATAAATGAAAGCTGTAAATGGTTTGATATCTTCTTGGCTTAATAACTACCTCTCACCTTATGTGAGATCTTGGCAGTTAAGCTCAGCCAAGGCACATGCTCACAGCCCCCTGTTTTTAAGGGGAAAGAGATGGCATTTTCTATGAGGGGCACTTGATGCTGGAACTCACTTCCCCTGTGGTCTGACAGGTTCCAAATCTGTTAACCTTTAGGGGAATCTACAAGGCCTGTCTGTTCTCCAAGGTGGTAAGAGGATGTAGGTACACGAAAGGGTATGATAGCCTGGTTGAGTGAGGAAGAATTAACCATTAATATTGATTACTTCTGTCATTTTTTGCAGCTGCTTTTATATTGTCTATGTGCCTGGGGCAAAAGAAAAGTGCATTTTACATGTACAGTAATTCCCTGCCTCACAGGATGCTGAGATACCTGTTATTCAAAAGTCATTTGAGATTGGAGATGGAAAGGCGCTGTACTAGTGAAAAATATTACTACTGTTGTATTTCTTTACTGAATTGAACACACAAGAGTATCCTCCATCTTCCCACTACATCTGGCAGGACTTCTACTTTTACAAATATTGGCCCAGCTTCTTCAAGGAGAATAACATGGATGGATCCATACAGAGCCCTAGTGAAATCACTAGGCCTCTGCACAGATGCAGGAGTCTGCTGGTGTGCAACAAGCCACAGGGTGAGGGCCACAGGTCCCAATCCTGCAAATAATTACGCACATGAGTAACTTTATACATGGGAGTAGTCCCATTGATTTTTAGGGGGCTATTCACACGTCTAAAGTTACTTATATACTTAAGTGTTTGCAGGACCAGGCCCACAGTGAGTACAATAAAATAAACAATTTATTTTACGCCACTGTATAGTGAAGTCTCGTCTTGTCCATAAACCACTTCTTCATCGGTGTTCAGACTGGGAAACTTCCAAATCCCATTAATTCGGTAGAGTTAGGACATTTCTTATTTCCTTTGACATGTGGCACATCAAATTACTTAGGAGCATACATAAATGTCTGTGAGAAGGAGTTGTCATCTTCTGGAGGGATAGTCAACATCATCAGCCTTGGATCCAACACTGAATGTTCTTCCTTTACCAGCAGATCATTCACCATTAGTTGAAAAATGGGCAAGCATTGATCTTCTCCAACATGCTTTTTAATGTATCCCAAACTTAGTAAAGTGCAGAAATACTGTGTATCCCTGACCCCTGCCAATGCTTGTCTATACAGATCTAGCCATCCTACAGAGTTTACTAATGGAGTGCACATCATACAAAAGAAAATCCTAGTGTGTCAGGCAATACTCTGAAAAGATAGAGTGGAGAGACTGGGTCTTCTGCCCTTTCCTCTGAAATCTCTGTTTTTTCAACTGGAAAAAGAATAATGATAATAATTTTTTTAAAAACCCTCCAAAATATACAGAGTTAGAACCGTGTAAGTAAAATACATATGTGCCCAATCATTTTGGTGATATATTACTTTGCCTAATCATTAACTGGAAATGCCATATAAGAATTTGTAAACCACAGTAAATCATTTTGTAGGAATGATTTAAATGTACTGCTGACTAATGTAAAACAGTCTAGTTTCCAGAGTCAGTAGGCTGCCAAATATTGTTAAAAAAAAAAGGATTTGTGATCTAAGTTGACATAAATTATAGTAGATATATATCTTTAAAACAGCAGTGGTGGTTTGCAGATTATTGGGTTTAAGAGATAGGAAGATGACATATTAACTAACATGAAGATTGCCAAGACTTTTGTGTGTTTTAATTAGGATGCTTTGCAAAAAGATGTTTGATTTCTTTTTAAAGCTCTGCCTTGGAAAGATCTTTATGACCATCTTGTTTGCAGTGATACAGGAGAAGTCAGAACATGACCTTGAAATTCCAGTTTATTGAATAGACACACAAGTGAAGTAAAGAGACTACATCCGTACCAGGTCCATGGGTTTGCTCTTCACACTACAGAGATGGGAACAGAAGGGTAAAAATAATGGCTGGCTTAAAAAAAATAGCAGCATGTGGGTGAAATCAAGCATACTCAATGCTACAACACAGATAGAAACAAACAAACCAAAAAAGCAGTGACAAGAAACATCTCAAGTGGTAGCAATGCTGAGAAGGAAAGCTGTCCATGTGCTTTAAAAAGCAAACTAGTCTTGAAGTGAGGAAGGGGGGGCAGTTGATCTGTGTTCACATTCCATGTTGTTTTTCCTATGTCTACTCAGACTAGAAGATATCCTTGGATGAGGGACTTATGATCCTAAGGCATGTAGGGTGAGATCTATTAAGGGTGTTAGGCGTTGCAATGCAAAGTGTCATGGAGCCTGACTTTTGGATGCCTAGAAAATCACACAAATACCCCTGCAATCCACAAAGCCTCAGTTAGGTGCGTAGACTCCCTATACAATCGATGGAGAGAGATAGGCACCTTAGACTGTGATCCACAAAGCCCACTTTTTGTGGGGGAACCACCTAAAATAGCCAGTAGGAGACATTGACCAGAGGAGAGTGTGCTAAGTCTTGCCCTCTCACAGATTGTACACCTAAATCCGGGCTGCACAGCAGCACCTAGCTCTGCTAGTGATCCATGAACTGGGGGAAGATAGGTGCTCAACTGCCTAAGTTGCATGTGGGAGCTGAAACAAAACAGCCTCAAGGGGGTGCAGGGGAAGGTGGCTATCGGATCAGGCTCCCGTACATGACTTGGGCAGTTGAATGTCTATCTTTCCTAAACAGTCAATCACTTTGGGGCTTAGGTAGGAGATAGGTGACTGGATGTCTATCGTGAGGCAGTAGTGTACATGCTTAAGTGCCTAAGTCAAGGCTGCAGTGTGCATGCCTGAGGAAAAAACATAAATGCCAAGTGAGTTTAGGCACCTAAAGGGTTAGGCAGCAGCCAAGCAGGAGTTTTGTAGATTTCTGTGGTGCCTAAAAACAGGATGTAGTACCGTCATGGAGTCCACCTTCAGGTACCTTTGAAAATTCCACTCCATGTCCTGTTTACAAAGAATCCAGCACACTTTTGCTACTCCATAAATTAAAACAACACATTTCAAAGAGAACCATCAGGGGAAAATCTAGCTCAATCTATATGGCCAAGGTGCAGCTCCAGCAAATGGGAATGCATGCGACACTCCCTCCTAAAGTAGAAGCACAAGTGATCATGGTAGGGAATAATACTTTTAGACACTGTCTGTAAACAGAACAGCCCTTCAGATCTACTCTCTAAAAGTCTTCATGCTGCAGGTGTAATGAGATGGATTTATAAAAAAGTGGAGATTAAATGTATCAAATACACTATATGTTAGAGGGGGTAAAAAAGATGAACTTCCTAGGTATCAGATAATTTTTTTCATCACCTAATTTTCCAAAGGTGACAATTTTTGACATCTCAGTTTTCAGAGAATAGGTGCTCAGCACTTGCTGAAAATCTGGCCCCTTTAAGGTGTCTCAAGATGAGGTGCCAAAAGCTGAGGGACCTAAAATCACTGAGTGACCTTTGAAGTTGTAGATGTAGGCCTGTTGCTATTATTTTACCTAGCAAAGTCTTCCCAGGGCAGTTCCCAGGGCACAGGTGCCCACATGCTAAAATCCATCTTCCCAACTGGCTGTAATTCACACACTGATGATAGTCTGAGCAGAGAGGTCAGAGAGTGAATGAGGATGGAGATTGAACTATCCTGTCACTTGTGATCTTCCCAGAGGCACTGAAAATTAGTGGACACTTTTGAAAAACTGGCCTTTTTGTCTTTGTCTGCACTGGAATTTAGCCCTAGTTACAGCCACTGGTAGACACAGAGCCACTGTAAGCCATAGTATTGCACAGGTGCAGTTTACCCCTAGTTTGACACCAGGATAAAGGGCACTGACGTAAAGAGTAGATTATAATAACTCACTCTACTTGTTTACACACAGGTTGAATCACTGCAGCTACATAAAAGGGGTAATCCCCAGTTTAGACAAGGCCTAATTTTCACCTCCGTAAAATGGGGCTAATAATACTTGCTTACATACCTGTGGTGTCATGACTGATGATAGTTAATACAGCACTTTGAAGACGTAAAGCTCTTTCAGGAGAGGAGTGTTATTTCTGTAGTACAAACCATTGGGGGCGGGGAAGGGGATGATGTAACCGGGTCCCCTGACCGGGCTGTTTTTGCAGTGTCATCAGTCAAACACGGTCTCACACCATACATAGCCCTGCCCATAAACCATGTAATTGCCCTAGCTTTAGCCTGACTGTGAGATCTCCAGTAACCCCCTCCCTGCAGCCTCCGGCTCCTCCTCGCTCACCCCCACTCTGCCTCGACGATCAACCAGTAGCCCAGCTGCTCCGGGCGGAGCTCTGCTGGGGCCCGCCCCCGGGCCTGGGCTCAGCCAATCCAGCCGGGCTTGGAGCGCGGCGGCGCTCGCCGGGCAGGCCCGCGTCAGGAAGGGCGGAGCTGTGCGGAGAGACACAGGAGTGGCTGAGGGACGGCGGGACGGGAAATGGCGGCGGCCCCCCGGCTGCAAGGAAAGTGGGCGCAGCAGCTGTTCGGTGTGACCAGCTGGGACGCTTGGCCGCGCTACCTCGTGCCCCAGCGCTGCAGCTAGCCGGGTGGCGGGGGCTGGGGTGAAAGCCCTGCGGGGGTTCGCCGCCACGCTCACCCGTGGAAGGGCACCGAGGCTATCAGCGGGGCGGTGGCCAGGGCCGGAGAGGGAGAGGGGCGCCCTGGGGAAGCAGCGGCTGCAGCAGCGTCCACGGCCAGGGCTGAGCTCGGGCAGCTGCCCCGCGGGAGGAGAGGGAACCACGATACGGCGGCGCAGGCCGCGGTCTGACCCGCCCGGGGCTGTGCAGAGCAGGGCTGCGTGCCCGGTCCCCAGGGATCAGAAACTGGGCACCACCCGGCTCTCGAGGGGTGCAGGCTCTCCCCCCAGGGGGGAAAGCACGAGGTGCATTTACAGCTTGGGCAGTATCAGAGGGGAGACCCGAGACGTTGCCAGGATTGGGGAGGGACTCGTGTCCCGGGGCGAGTTGGGCGAATAACTTTGATCCTTCAGTTTCCCGGCGGGCGGCAAGTTAAAGAAATGGTTTCAAGTCGATCTGAAAAGGAAGATTTTTCTGCAAATTAAAAAGTACAAAGGGGAAAAGAAAAACGAATTGTTTGTGGGGGAGCAAAATGTTTCGTTCTACCCCGAACACTTCCTGTTGTGAGTAGTTTTAAACCGCTTACAAATAAAGTGGAAGCGACTTTCCAAAGGAGGCCGTTCAGAATCAAGAAATCAAAATGTTTCATTGTGGCGATGAAAAATGTCACCCAGCTCTAGTTGTAAGTGTCTCCCTCTGGTGACGGGATGGGTGGCTGGGGAAATGTAGATTCCTCCCACATCTGGACCTGCTCCTAAGAGGGAAATGGTTACAACACTTAGCTGGTTTATAGCACTTGATAATGATCAATCTGCACCCCTTCAGCCTCCCTGTGTTTTTTTTTCTCAGCTCTTCTCTTGTTTTCTCACCAGACATCCAAGCAGTCACTGAATCCTGCTGGTTCTTTTTCAACTTCCTCTTATGAATATAAAAAGAAAAGGAGTACATGTGGCGCCTTAGAGACTAACAAATTTATTTGAGCATAAGCTTTTGTGAGCTACAGCTCACTTCATCGGATGCATTCAGTGGAAAATACTGACCTACTGACCGCTATTCCTACCTACATGCCTCCAACTTTCATCCAGACCACACCACAGGATCCGTTGTCTACAGCCAAGCTCTGCGATACAACCGCATTTGCTCCAACCCCTCAGACAGAGACAAACACCTACCAGATCTCTATCAAGCATTCTTACAACTACAATACCCACCTGCTGAAGTGAAGGAAAAAAAGGTATTTTCCACTGAATGCATCCGATGAAGTGAGCTGTAGCTCATGAAAGCTTATGCTCAAATAAATTGGTTAGTCTCTAAGGTGCCACAAGTACTCCTTTTCTTGTTGCGAATACAGACTAACACGGCTGCTACTCTGAAACCTCTCATGAATATGACTCTTCCTGTTTGCCTACTACTAAAATGCACTGGCCTTCACAATTCCTGTGCCACCTCTCTCCAGTTCTGCAGAAGCTAAAATAATTTCCCTCACTGCCTGCTCACACCATGTAAGTCATCTCTCTGAATGTCTCCTCTGGCTCCTATATCAAGCCCAAGCCACCCATATCTTCAAGGCTCAACACAGGTCTGCTCCCTTCTATATCTCTGCTTTCATTTCTTGCCATTCCTATTGTACCCACCCCTTTCACTTCACCAATAAATCCCTCCTCACCTCTTCTTCTGTCTCCCATTTCTGTGCCTTCTTCCATGCCCCCTCTCCATCGTATTATCCCAGCCCAAGCACCCATCCTTTCCTGAAAACACACTTCTTTTATGAAATTGTCGGAAGAGAGCTCACTTCAGCTAACCTATGGTCACCCACTCATTATTGGGAAATAAAAGACTCTAAATTAGTACGTTTCTCTAGCTCCCTTGCCATGTTCTGTCTGTTTAGACTACAGCCTCCTCAATATGGAGACTGTTATGTAGGTGTGATATAAAAGTTATAGTTGCAGATATGCGTATATACAGATATTGCATACAAACAGTGCCACCTACTGGCACAGAATTTGTACTGTTGTTTATAAATTAGTAGGTTCAATAAAGTTGTTGTTGTACATTGCAAATGACTTCCGGAAGGCAGCTTTTAACCAGGATCATGTATTTTTTCTGTGTCATATAGTGCCAAGCATGGTGTCAACACTTAACAACTATTAATAATGCAGGAGAAGTGTAGGAATTGCACACCTTGCATGTTATAGAGTAAGGTTTACATAAACGCAGAGTGCCAATGGTTGCTTGGGTTTGGTTGCATGTAAGCCTGGTATATCCAAGATCATAAAGCTACAATTACAAACTTAATGTAGTGCTGAGTTTGAAGACTTGCCAAACCTTAACTGCTAGGAAAGACTACTGTTGTAAACAAAATGCACATTCCACAGCAACATTCAGTTCAGCTTTTAACTCTGACTTTATGGGGAGGTGGGATTTAATGTATAATTTTCTCCAGCTAATTTAAAGTGGTTTGTAAAAGCAACAGTGATGGTCTGGATTGGGCATTTTCTGGAAGCTATTGCCTATCTGGCCGAAAAAACATCACCTCAGGCCCTTAGCTCCTCCAGGCAGTCATTATCTGGCAGGAAACACCTGACATAAAGGTAATTCAGGCACATTGGACCGATTCAGCCCCAACGTAATTGGGTGCAACTCCCATTAATGTAAATAGTTGAACTCAGTGTCGAACAAATTCAGCCCTAGTATCACAGTATTTCAGGTAACAAATATCTAAGGAGTTTTGATAGAGGTTCAGAAAAACGTATCCATGCTGGACTTCAGAAGCAAAAGGTAATTGGAATCCTCCACTAAACTATGCCCAGATTTCTCCTAATCCAGTGTGCCAGGTTAAGCAAAATTATTCTTGGTTATAAGGTTATTATGTTGAATATTTTTAAACTGGAGTTAAGTGACACTTTAGTACGTGGAAGATATATATTTTATATTCTCGACATTTACTCTCACACAGATTTTGAAATATTATCATACAGTGGATCGTACTGATCGTGGTGTAACTCAGCCTAGAACACTTCTGGGCACTCAAAAATAATACATAATATTGACTTAAGTGAAAATACATAATGGATAGATTTGGCCTATTATGTCTGTTTTTTTGTTTCCAGCCTACTGACATTTAAAATAGAAATTAACAAATAAGGTTAAAATAACTTGTGTGAATTTTATGTATATTATATATTTCTGTGTGTGTATAAGTATATGCACTCACACACATCAAAACATTCAAGATTGGTACATAACATACCTTAATAACCTCATATTCTTACTTTGAAACCCTATTCACCCTTCCACTTTTCTATTGTGCACACTCATTACAGTATATTTTATCTAAAATGTAGGACTCGGTCCTGCAAAGAACCTGGTCACTCAGCAAATCCTTTTCAGGATGCATGCTTCTTAGACCAAAAGCTCTTCAGGGCACAGGGTTTCTCTTTTATATTTGCATAGTACACTTTTATATGCTGTTGAAATAATAATACATAATAACAGCCAGTCCAAAAATGCCATGTGACATAATGTCTCCTCAGTTCAATCACCATCCATTTGCTAGATTTTTAAGAGAATGCTATGTATTCTGGCAGCCATTTATTTAGGACAGCTTCATAAAAAATTCATATCAGGTGTTTTATGGACTTTAAGATAAACTTCTGATTTTACATTGCTCTGTGGCAGTTTACTGGTATTGCCTGGTACAAAAAATTGGAGGATATTATGCTCCTGACATCAATTTGAGCAACTAAATGTCAGATAAATCTAGTCTGAATTCATTAAATCACACCTGCATCAACAACCATGAAGACACATATTCATTTTGAGTTGAAGAGATTAGAAGTGAGGTATCATCAAATTAGATCATAAGCCTGGCTCTGATTATGAAGATATGTTTATTCAAAATAAAGTGTCATTTGTTTCAGAGTGAGGAACACAGTTTTTCAGTATATTCATTTTGTTTGTTTCACCAGATAGAAGCAGATGTTCTTGTTTTTCATGAAAGTAAAGGAAAGACAACATAAAAATAGATAAGGAGTACTTGTGGCACCTTAGAGACTAACCAATTTATTTGAGCATGAGCTTTCGTGAGCTACAGCTCACTTCATCAGATGTATACCGTGGAAACTGCAGCAGACTTTATATACACACAGAGAATATGAAACAATACCTCCTCCCACCCCACTGTCCTGCTGGTAATAGCTTATCTAAAGTGATCAACAGGTGGGCCATTTCCAGCACAAATCCAGGTTTTCTCACCCTCCACCCCCCCACACAAATTCACTCTCCTGCTGGTGCTAGCCCATCCAAAGTGACAACTCTTTACGTAATCAAGTCGGGCTATTTCCTGCATAGATCCAGGTTTTCTCACATCCCCCCCACCCCCATACACACACAAACTCACTCTCCTGCTGGTAATAGCTCATCTAAACTGACCACTCTCCAAGTTTAAATCCAAGTTAAACCAGAACATCTGGGGGGGGGGGGGTAGGTACATTGGTCAAACTGGACAGTCTCTACGTAAAAGAATAAATGGACACAAATCAGATGTCAAGAGTTATAACATTCATAAACCAGTCGGAGAACACTTCAATCTCTCTGGTCACGCAATCACAGACATGAAGGTCGCTATCTTAAAACAAAAAAAC